CGACGTCTGACACATTCCGAGGCCCGTCATTCACGGTGCAAGGAGGCGCGGCGCGGCGCGGCGGCGCCCCCCGAGGCCGGCAGAGGAGCTAAGCGTCGCGAAGGGCTCGCACCGGCGGGACCGGCGGGCGTGACAGCCCGGGCCACCACCGCGGGGGCCGCCAGCCCCGCCAGCTGCCCGCACACCCAGCGCCATCGCACGCGCGGTGTGGGCACGAGATAGCCTGCGCCGAGGAGGCCCCATCGACACGGGAAGCATAAATCATCAAACTTTTTAACAAAGGAATATGGCAAGCAATGCGGACCACGGGCGCGCCTTCGTAGGCGTCAATGGTATTGTTCAACATGGACGTCTAAAATCTTGACTCCATTAGCAGTCCTAGTAGGGCCTTACCGCAGCGGGGCGCTGTTTTTCCCGAGGGGGGAATGCCGTACTTTATGAGTAACCCTCCTCCCCAAACAGCCAATAAATATGGAACCAGATACTCATCACCATCCATCGCACACCTCCACCTCACACGCTCACAAGCGCACGCGCGCGCGCGCACACACACACCTGTCTCGTATTCTAAATCAATACACACTTGAAAAAGGTGTTTTTTCTGTTCCATGCAGCTGCGAAGTGAGATAAATTGATAACGGTCTTGCTATACACCTAGCCGAACGAGACGGTGCGTGAGTTATTGACACGCACAACTACACAGACACACGTATACGCACACGCACTAAGTGTTTCAGTGCGACAGCGTCGATGCCCTAACACACACACACACACGCGCGCGCACGGTCATTTGCAACTCGACTGCCTGTCGTGTCCAGGACTCTATCACTTGTTTTTCACCCCTTCGTGCTCGTATATCATGCGCAAGGAATGAATAATAAATCTAATAATACGACACGCGCTACATTTCTTTTCCCCGCATTTGCTTCTTCATTTCCTCTCGCGCTGTCCTCCAGTGTGTCTCGTCCGCCGCCCGACGAACTCTCGGCCATGCAGTGACCGGGGACTTGGTGGAGGAGCGCGCAATAATAAACTTTACAGCCCAGCCGAGCCGCTGGATGCGACGGGAGCCCCATAAGGTGCACCGACTACCTGCTTCTAGCTGGTGCAGCCTGGTGCAGCCTGGTGTGGTGCAGCCTGGTGCAGCGCCACGCCACGACCGCCGCGAGGTCGCAGGTCGGCTCCCTATCGCTCCGCGTCGCGTCCACACTTAACCGAACTCCAGTTTACTGCTGGGGGCCTCCTGCACAGAACGCGACCCGACTTTCAACTAACTTCCAGAAGAAGCTCCTTCCTTTCCGATGGAACCTTCTATAAACCCTAATGTATACTGTTGTCCATAAACATGCAGTATTCAAGCAGATGCCAGCTATGCCAAGAACAGTACTTGTTCTTCTTATACATCGTCTAGAAAATACGTCCGTATTTTTCAGATGCATTCGGCAAACTGCGAGAGAGCTCGGCGCCTGCAAGACTCAGGGTAGGCCACCCTGCAGTACACGCATGCACGGCAGACAAGTTGTTGTATACCTATCAGGCGCTTTCAGAGCTTTCTAGATTATCCCACCACTGTCTGTAAGGTTGATAATAATTTATGCAAATAGAACGAGTTTATACCTAAGCACAAAATTATTTTTGTGTTTTAGGTCTCCGTAATACTCAGGAATATCTTGGTAAGTTACAACACCACACAACTACCAGGTGGCTGATTCACGCCGCGCACTTTTGTAGTTATTCTGTACCGCACGCGTCCATGCGTTTCAGTATAACTACGAAAGTGCGCGGCGTGAATCAGCCGGTACAGTAATTATTACGCAATTCTTTTTTAGTAAAACGTTTAGAGCATATGCACACATTTCTGCATAGTAAACAAGTTGTGACTTAGGCATGAAAAGTTGTGCATAACTATGGCTGGTTAATACGATATTCGAATTGCTTACTTAGGCTCAAGAGCACTGTATCTTAATCACATTGTTTTACTTCTTTAAAGTTTTGATAAAGTCAAAACTTATTGCGAGTTAAAATAACGCATTAAATTTTTTGAAAATAAAATAAAATTCGAGTTCGAAGTAGTTTAGTATTTTTGAAAAACGATACTCGGTCGCTGCCTCGGTGTATTTGTCAGCGCACACAGTAGTTTGTACAGCAGCGGTAGCGGGGCTACCGCGCGGCCGCAACACGAAACGGATGAAGTGCGCATTCTTGTGTTCCTCCCCACCTGACGCTTTTAGTCGTTAGCGGAGCTACGCCAATTTGGGTGACACACACACATGCGCGCGCGCACACATACACCTGCATCTTCTGCTGCCATGAGTAAAACGCTTGACTGCAGCTGCACACATACACGCACGTCAGCGAATACGTGCGCCGGCGCGCATGTCTGCTGGAGTCTAAATGGATGTGCATGCAAGTTATCAGCAGAATATTTTATGTTCTCCCTTTTGCTCGCAGGAGGGACACCTCTGCGGCCCGTGT